GTGGGGGGGCGTGGGCCGCACGCACAAACGTGCCGCCGCTGCTTGCGGGTGATGCGTAGAGTAACCTATCAATTATCGCCACCCTCACATTATGGACGGCCGTGGAGACGTATTGGAAAGTGTTGTATTAGTTTTTGTTACATCTGTTTGTAGCCATATACCTAAGCTAGTACCAGCTATAAAACCAAGGTGCCGGTAGTGACACCAGCTAAAAGTACGGTGTCCGATGGTTCCGACGATAATATCAAATATCGTAAACGGCGCTTTGCGTTCGAGAAGGCAGCATGCTAATCGAGTCAAATCATGGTCAGCAACTAGGTCTACCTTCCTTCTACGAAAACCAGCTACAATAACTTAACCCGACAATGAAAAACCCAGGTGGAATTAATAAGAGAAATGTTTTTATACACAGTTTATCTAACAGAGAATCATGCGTCTGAGTGTTCAAAGAAGTCTCGGTCAAAGATGGTGGACTCTGATAATGGTAGCTACACACTTTCTAAATAAATATTGTTGAGTTCTTACCTACTTTTTCAGAGGAGAATGAAACTTTAGTTCAGAGTATAATAATATACAAAGAGTCCGACTCTTCGTTCACAGAGAACAAAATGTTAAGAAAATTATAATTCTATTTGGATTTATTATTATAATTATTCCACAGTGAATGGATGGCTCTGCAGAATTAGTTTCATCTCTACAACCTAACACCACAAGGAAAGACCCACAGTATAGCTCAAAACAAGGTAGCTAACAAAGTTTTCATTCACAGGTTCACCAACAGGAATTTTTGAGTCTCCAAGTTCAAAGATATCTCAGTCAAAGCTGATTAATGTCAATGGTATATAAAATTATTATTTTTTATTTTGCTGTGCTTTCCTACCTTTTTAGAACTCTAGTTCACAGTAGAAGGGTCCGACTCTTCGTTCACAGAAAACTAAATGTTAGGGAAAATATTCATTGTAATTTTTATCTTGTTTTATGGATTCTTCAGTGAAAGGATCTGCAGAGTTAGTTTCATGTCTACACCCTAACACAACAAGGAAAGTCCCGGGTGTGTTGATATGACAAGGGAAAAGTATATAAAGTGGTTTTTAAATACTCATACACAGTTTCAACAAAAGAAGTTGTAAGTCTGCAAGTTTAAAGAAATCACAGTCAAAGGCGATAAATTCTGATGACGACAATGGTACATTTATACTTTGAAAAATCAGAAGATTTTTTTGAAGGTTTTAGCTACCTACCTTTCTGGAGGGGACGGAAAGTCCAGTTGTGTTTAGGAGAGGTCTAAGACTCCGGACGCATTTAAGAAGTAAGAATTGTTGCAATGTCAAAAGCATGTAAACTTGCAAATAAATTTACCTCTGATACTAAGACTGTGACAATATGCAATATTAAGAGCTGCACTTATCGACATTGCAGTGTGTTCCAGATTAATTAAGAAGACATTTTTGTCATGCAATCTCTTTCCAATGCCTTTTTAACCAGTTGTAGCTATGCTCTGGTTAGATTTTTCTGAGTGCAGGCCTATAAAAAAACAATTTCTTACAAAAGTGGCAAAATAGGTCACAGATTAGTATTGTAATGTATTAGTTGTCTAGCTGACAGATATCCATGGTAAAGATGGGGTGGGGATCGCCTTTATCCTTCGAGCCTCCAATAACCATTAGTTCTTTGGTGGCTGGTAGGAAACAACATGCACAACCTGCACGTGGAGAAGGGAGCTCTTCCACTTCCTGCCACTGTTTGATGTGTGGGAGGTACATGGCAATGGTGGATGATGAAGTTTCACTGTCACCCACGGCAAGAAGGTGACCATTAGCTAAATGATACAAAAAGTGGAAAAGAGGTAACTGTAGTTGGCAGTGTCTGCCAATCACAAGTTGGCTTAACAGCCAAAGAATACGACTTGGCATCAGATAGCAGTGTTGGAATGAAAATCTTTAGTGCTTTCTCGGTGATGTTGGACCATGCAATGTAGAGGGTGTCTTGAATGATGGCAAGTGATGGTCTAGTTGCAGGAGTTGGTAGCAGTGATGCTGTGTACCACTGTTTGGAGCTGGTGTCCAACACTTGTACAACATCAAGAGAGCAATCGAGATCTGCTGTGAGCCATCCCCCAACCACGAGCAGCCACTTCTTGTAGCCTATTGCTGATGCCCAAACCGTAGGTACACTGCTTCCAGGAAATGGGTGTAGCCATGTATCATTGTGGTTATCAAGCACGTGCACCTGGTCAACTGGCTCACTGGTGTTTGCGTCCATTCCACCAGCTACGATCAGTTGGTTATCGACTGCTGCCATGGCAAACCAAAACGTTGGAGCAGCTATTGTCTTCCACTGAGGACCTTCTCCAGTCATACTGCACTCAAAGATTGATAATATGGGGGGATTATCTTCGTTCTCACCGTCTGCACTTCCTTCAACCACACCCTCCTCACTCCCTCCCACATTCTCCACTTGCATGTCGCCTCCTCCAATGTAGATTTTCTCTCCTATCACGACTACCTGAGCAACTGTTGGCCCCAGTGGCATCTCAGTGGTGGTTTTCCATTTAAGAGGTAGGTTACACTTCAAAATATCTGGCAGCTTTGAGGCCTGCAATAATGGATTAGTTGACTTATTAGTAGAATTTGTTCAGTTTATCAAATGTGAAAGTCTAATGTGAAGTCTGAGGCTGCTGCACACAGTGTATCACAACTCAAAACTGAGGAGAGGGCAACACTTGTGCGTTACCTGTCTCATGTGCTTATATAACCAGAGGAATGTAATGCATTGTTTGCGAGCGTGATCAGTTCGTAATTGGAGCAGTTCAATATATTTTGCGCATATTAAGAACGACGTACAATATTACGGGGGTGCTAGCAGTGCAATATTGCGTGCATTTTTTGTGTGTATAGAGAAGCACGTAGAACATTACGGTATGAGTGTCGCCTGGTGGAAATAAGATGGAAAATCGGCCCGTCGAAACGATTAGGTGGCGCCAATAAGTCATAGCTGCACATAATACGAGGGAGCACACTCATGCTTATTATTATTATATTACTTATGTGGAGGAAAAATTACACGAGCAATGTCAGTTTCAAATAATTATGTGACCAACCACTGCTAGGTAATCCCTGTCTTGTCTCTTACGTTTAATTTAAGAAGTGTTTTACGTAAGTGTTGAATCACTTCTACTTTCATCTGCTAATTTACTGGATGTTATATAGCTACCTCTCCTTTTTCCAACTGCTTCTTCAGGTCTTCTATTTCCATAGCTTGCATTTCTGTCATTTCAATAAGTTTAGCTTTGTCCAAGTCCATCCAATCTAACTCTGAGTCCAGCTGTGCCATCTTTGACTGAAAATAATAATGTATGTTTGAACTACAAGGTAGAAAGGCAAAATGCACAGCAAACGGATCACCAAGGAATGTGCCCTATGTGGGAAAACAGTTTCTTACAAAAGTGGCAAAATAGGTTACAGATTAGTACTGTAATGTATGGAGACCTGGATGTGGCGGCAGAGCTGAGGGCCTCTTCTCTTCCCAGATGGAAGGTGATCAGCATGCCTGGAGGCTTCTCTCGCAGTGGAGGGCTCCAGGCCGGCATCGACTACGTGACGAACCCCGACGCAATTGTGATGACCATTGACATGCACCTCACTCTACCTCCCGGCTTTGTGGAGTACACTCGCAGGCATGTGGTGCAGGGGAAGATGGGGTTTGCCCCTATGTTCTTCCGTCTTAATCAGGGCTACACTGAGATTAACATCAACGGATTCTGGGAGACTCTGACATATGGGCTACTGGGGATGTACAAGAGTGACTGGACCACTACCGGAGGATTCGACGTACAGAAATACACCACCAAATGGGGTGGGGGGGACTGGGACGCTGTGGACAGAGTTGTGACTCACGGAATTGAACTGTTCAGAGTCAGGTACCCAGGACTGGCACACTACTTCCACACCAAAAAAAGGCATGTGGGACAACAAGAGCTCTTTTTTCCAAGGAAAAAAGAGCTGCCCTATGCATGTGGGATTCGAACCTACGACACTCTGCAGTCTAGGCAAGGAACTCAGCTACTAAGGCAACTCAGCTGTTAGGGGTTCAAATCTTCAACACAATAATTATATACAACACAATAGGCAAACCTCAAACCACTGTGCTATGGCACACAAGTGGTTGTGCTACAGATTCCGTGACTCAAAACTTAGTCTTAAATGAAGAACCAGCCCAAGATATTTTCCACAATAAAGCCTAGTTCAAGATTATTCAACTCTACTGAGGATGGTTCAGAATCACTGCTAGAAATTTCTGTGTTCCTCACTCTCACCTTTAGTTCCTTATTTTCCTGTTTTAGTTCTTCCAGTCTCCTCTTATTCTCAGCTATCTCTCTAGCATTTGCTTCAGCTTCAGCTGACTTCTCTGTCAAACTCATTTCCAACTGGAACCTGTTCAATAGGAGACACTGTCTAAGTAACTGCAGACGAGCATAGCCACTGGTGCAGACTGATTAGATGTTTTAAACTCATGCCATGTGCAGCCCAGTAGTTTCGAATACCACACAAATGAAAAGCACTAAAGTGCAAACCGTCGGCGAACTGCGCATGTGCGGTACCACTAATTGATGGGCTGGGTTTTTTATGCCTTTATCCCGCTAGTAGCTCGCGCAGAGTCTGGCACTGGCTAGCTACAGTAGTAAATAGCATGCGGAAGTCCATATATGCCCTTCGTTGTGACTTGTTGTGCCTTCAAGACACACAGAGCGAACGGACGCGGTCGAGGCAAGCCTGTGCTAATTTACATATTGGCTTGTCCACTTGGTTTTCACGCCATAACTTTATAACACAGTAGTTTTACGAAAATCGCCTTTTTTAAAATCAACCCAGTGTAGCACTGAACCCGATCATATCGCTATTTACCTGATTTAGTGCGCACGGTGGCAGAAAACGTGGTAACAGACAGACTGACAGACTGACAGACACACGGGACAACTACCGCAACCCTCGCTGCGCATGCGCGCCGAGGGTTAATAAACTGTGTGTCCAGCTACAGACGTATGTCTGAAGCAAGACTAGGCAGCACGTGTACTAACCGTCAGCCCTCTCCTATCTGCACACACACTCCCTGTACCTCTCTTCCTCCTTTATACACTATTGTGGGTTGGTGCATTTTAGCTATAAATACTTGAAACTTCTCTTAACTACATGGCGGAGAAAGAAGTATGTGCACACACTGCCATAGTAGGCTTGTTGGAAGCAATTTTCTTTTGCAGGCTGGCATGTATGATGCAGAAACCACTCTTGCCCGTACGTAGCTATAGATGGTCTTTTTAAGTTTCTTTAGTAAGGTTGGGAAAACGTTTGCCTTCAACAATGGTAGCTAGCTAAGTGTGGATGCGGGTTTACCAGAGCATTTCCTGTATAAAGCAATTTTCAGTCTGGATGTCAGAAACTGATTAGGATGCATGCCTCTTTCCCACTGAGAGGAGTGACCTTGTTCTCTTGCACACAACTAACTCATGAGACCTCGTGAGACGAGACACGTTTCACAACTTCACTTTTGCAGGGAAACAAAGCCTTAGCTACCACCTACCTATACTCATAGTCTCACAGGCCAGATGTCGTACTTCCACGCGCACGCGCAAATTGAATGAGTAGGCAGGAAAAATACATCTTCCCCGCGGGACTACTAAACTCTCCATTACCAGCGTTTGGCTATTTAGCTATACACAAAGTCCCAGGGGTGTTCTGAATGTGCATTTTCTACGTATTTACATGGCAACTGCATGTTTAAGGTTATACACACATGCAAAGTGCTGTTCATCCACTTTTGTCTATACAAATTTAAGGAACACGCTGTGTAGCTAATTTAATGTGCAAGGCTCACGCTGTGTAGCTAATTTAATGTGCAAGGATCACGCTGTGTAGCTATGTCGAAGAGGCCTTAACCTCATAATATCAAGGCTCTTCCAGCCTAGGAAAGGGAGGCCTGAGTATTGTACCCTCTACCTGTTCATATGCAAGAAGGGTTGTCTGAGGTCTCCCACCATATCACTCAATCTGTCCATTGCCTGATGGGCAGTTGGTCGTCTTTCAGGATCATCCGCCAGACACTCCTTGATGAGGGACACCAGACCATGCCCCTCTCCCAGTTTACTCTCTAGGGTTGACATGTAGGTGTTTCTGCGTTCCAGTTCAGTGCGAGTCTTTGCCTTATTTTCAATAGCTGGATCAGAGTAGGTTGAAGGCAGCAGATCTCCCGGGAACACCTTCAGTGAGAACAAAAACAGCAGTACGGGAAGCATTGAAATCAGTGTGCACAAGAAAACCATTTCTATAGATTTTATGGGAGAAAAATGGGAGTTTTGCAGAATGTAGGTGTATAAAGCTATAATAGCTCTGTCGATGGAACCTGTATATAAAACAGCTCTCTTGTGTCCTGAATACACTTAAAATATTTTTATTCATCACAAACCTGTATGGCGGTAAACAGGGAGAGATGACCGAATGAGAACATGTCAAGTGGAGGGCTGTACTCATCGGTGGAGGCCTCTGGAGAAAGATCAATGGCAAACGAGGCGATAACCACACCCTGTAGCTACCTGTTCTTGCGGTGTCCAAGTTTTCGCTATGTGCCAGTGCCAGTCGGATAAAAATTGCTAACCAACCCGCTCATAGTCACGCTAGCATATATAGCTACCGTCCGAACATTACGTCTAGCCCGCGACACTATACCCGGACATGACGGCACATAGGACATAGCGCGAATTGGTCACTGTATATACTTACTAAGCCAAAACGAGTCTTTCTTAACCATGGAGGCGGTCTCTGGAGGCATGTAACGTAGAGGAGTCCGTCCCTTGGTCATGATCTGAGCCATCTGTCCAGGAAGGAGACAGGAATTATTTAATTCGGCGATCTTGGCCGTCATGGCGGCGTCCAGGAGCACGTTGTGAGCCGTCAAGGCACGGTGTAGCTACAACGGCGGGATTGCGAGTGTGAATAAAAAGAAGGCCTTTCGTCACATCGTGGAGGAAGGAAAGTTTCACGTAGAGAGGTATTTCAGTATATTGCCCTAACATGTCGTCGAGGATCGAATGGAGTCGCTCCGTCACCAGGACGGGCAGTAGCGTGTCGGGGAAGAAGCAGATGCCAAGGAAGTGCACAATGTGCGGATGACGAAGTTCAGAGAGATAACGACACTGGTTGTAGTACTTGTCCAGCATTGTCTGAGTCCCCTGGTCACTGGGGCCGACATACATCTTCTTTCCCACGCAAACGAGGCCGCCCATTTCGAGCTCTTCCACTTTTCCGTACGCGCCTCCGCCGCCGTACAACGTTTTGCCGGTCCGTCTCACGTCGCGCAAAAGAAACGGACGGAGTTTAGGCGCTTCACGGATCTGTTCGTCTTTGGAAACTAGCTGAGGTTGTGCCATAGTTACTGTTAGGGTGCCGTTGTAAGTATTGACTGTAACGATCGCGAATAATGGTCAACGTTTTATAACCGGCCAGCCGTCGGTGTCCGGCCGGATATTTTCACATCAGGCCGGATATAAACTCTCCGGTCAGCGTCCGCATCTGGTCGGTCCAAAAATTACCCTCTTCCTGTAGTGATGTCTGCCAATGTTAAATTTGTGAAACAAGGTATTCATTACTATTACGAGTTGCATGATAAAAATTTTTTTACTGACAAGAGCCATGGGCCTATAATGTTACAGAAAATTTGTGCTCTATATACAATTGGCTACATAGGAAGAATTTTCTAATTAATCTGCATAATACTGGCTCAGTATAACAACCGATTGGGAAACCCAGTGAGCTCATCAAAGACGCACATTTCCGGATAGATTGGGCATAGGTAGCTATATGAGTTGGCTGTGTCTTACTGATCACTGCATACAGAGTTGGCAAAATTATAATATTATAATTATGTATATTATAATTGGAAACAAATTAGCTACCAGATCAAATTACAAGCTAAAGAGATAAATGGGAACAACCCTTAATTTTTTTAGAGTTTTTAGAATCAGCACTCATCCATAGAGAATTGAGACTTACCCCACTTGCCTATAGCAAAGGGTTTGTTGGTTTTGGTGGAAGCTATGAGATAATGTTCTATTCCCCACTGTACCTTTATGCACAGGAAGGTTATTGAACAATTAAAGTGCAAACCCTCCGCAGAGACGCACGCGTTCCGTAGAGAAGGGTTCCATGTAGCTAAGCAAAGTTGACATAGACTTGTTTACGGAAAATCTCGCGTATTCGTAAACAGATTTCCGTAGAAACGCGCACGCGGTAGTACACTCATGCGCTTACTGCTAATTGATGGGCTGGGCTATTTTACCGTTGGTGGTCTGTTAGCAGGTCGCTGAGACTCAGTAACGGGCTATATATATATCTACACTACCGCGAGAGTCGATAGACGCCCAGCATGGCAACTTTTGGTGCCTGCTAGGTATGCAGAACATGCTGAGGTCAGCCTGGGCTAATTGCATATTTGCTCGTTCACTTGGTTTTCACGCCATAACTTTTGAACGCAGTAGTTTCAGAGAAAATCCGATATATGTTCGACCTATACCCGACGCTGAATACGTGGTATTGTTTGTGGGGCGATTCATGGCTCATGAAGTGAGATGTTGGGTAACGGACAGACAGACACACAGACGCGCGCACAAACCATCTTTGCGCATGCGCGCCGAGGGTTAACGAATTGCCATACGATCCTACGTACTTTACTCCAGTATTGGGTGTGGTCTGATGGATACACACTACACCGTGAGGTCAGCGGTGCCAATCCCAGTTTGTGACATAATGCTGTAATCATGAGTGTTAATATAAGAGGAACGGTTTTTCATCACCTCTCATGGCCAGCCAGAGTGGCTAGGTGGTTAGACACGTGGGGACTGACAGCGTAGATGCCTGGTTCGAATCCCGGATCCGCACTAAACTGACAGGTGGTCGAGAGCATTGGCTGGGAACAGCTCTGGTTCCTCCCCTTACTCACAAATCTACCACTGACCCACGTTTCTCAACGGGCAGTGTATAGTTCGGCATAGCACTGCGTCTGTAGACGTCTGTCTGGAGAGATAAAGGGCTGGCCAAAAACTTCTTTTTTCAACTTTCTTAATTGTTTTGCCAAAAACAAACCATAAAATAAGTGCATAACGTTCAGTTATCTTTTTACGCATCTATCTATATATACCTATGGCTGGTATGCTATGAACTATAATTTCATGCCCAGTAGCTATCGTTTTTTTGCATGTATATGCAGTTTGGCATTGCACTGCGTGTCCACAAACACCTGTGTGTAGAGATGGAGGGCTGGCCCAAATTTGTTTAAACCTTAAAAATTCAATTTTCGCCTAACTAAATGGTGCAAGACATTCAGTTAGATTTTTAGTGCATTGCCAGTATTTTTGCCTATTCAAGAAGCCTCGTAACAAAACCCTTTCGGATTTCCCATTACCATTAACCCTCGATAAGACGAAATGGTGCATATTTTTTTGCATATTATGTGGGAACCTCTCAACAACTTTCCCATATCCCTTTTGGTCACTAAATGTAAATTTACACACTTCTAGAAACGTCAACAAAACTCGTGTGAACTTTGACCCGGTAGGCAGGCAGCATGTCGACATTATCTCGTAATAACCACCCACGCATCCATAAGTGGTCAGTCGGCCTTTGGATGTGGCGGTCGGAGATTTGATGTTGCTTTCATCTACCCTTTCGGTAAAAAAGGTCTGGATTGAGTGAGAAATGTCACAATTTTCTCAGCAGGCTTAAAGGCAGGCACAGGCCTCTTCATAATTCGTATGGTCGGATGAGCTCTTGTTGGCTGAACCCAATACTCTTCGTGCGATGTCTGGATAACTTTCATGTAATATTTGCCCATGTTGAGTGCCGATTGATGCATAGCCTGCAGCTACATCTATAGATGTGCTATACTATTGCGATTCCATGACGGCATATATATGTATGTCACTCAGGTCGTATCCACCCTGTGCGATAGTCCTTGCAGTTATTTACACCTGTTCCGTGGTAAGACACAGCCACTCCCTGGGAGAAGAGTAAGTGCGAATACCGTCTTCTGCAAGCCATACGTTGTCTTCGTATCTGCCTCGTACCTTTAAGGCGTAGCATTTCCAGCCACAGGGATGGCAGTATTGTTTTCCACTGTGAGATCACCGTCCTTCTTCTTATAGAAATCGTAATCAAATCAAAGCGTCATGTCTTCTACTTAAAAATTAGGGAGCAGTGGATGGCGTCAAGAAGGCCACCAGGAAGTCTTAGCAGTAAGACCAACGTTGTATTGGGTTGAACGTTGTAGTCGCAAAGCCGTTTAGAATTATTCACATCTGTTCCATGAAATCGTACCAGGCGTTTATCACTAGAGCAAATGCCGGCTTGGTCTTGCACTTTTGGCTTTGATCTCACTTACGTAGGCTTTACCTGTTGTTTGTATCATGATATCATCCCCAGAAATTGTTTTCACAAACAAAGTTTCGGGAGGGTACAGATTGATATGACTCCTTACGTGTTCCCCCGAATGAATGATAGAAATTGGTTTTTCTCCGACCTCACCATGACACCGGTGTGTTAGTCGGTCGATACCAAGGGCCTGGTAAGTGTTTGCATGACCTCTCCCCCTCTCCCTTTAGTATTGTTCGTGTGTTAGCTACCACAGTCATGCCCAGTGAAGCTGAGGCAAAAATTTCGTGAGATTCTAAAGACCACACATACTCATTTCCTATGAAACGCTATAGTGTACATGTATAGCGCCACTGCTGTCATTCTGGTAAACGGCTCATGCGTGAATATGTTTCGCCCAATTTGACACTCTAAAAAAACATTCTTGGTTGTGTATGCATGTTGCTACATGGGGTTAGCTAATCAAATGCTGAGCATAGAAGACTAGTGGAACTAAGTATTCGACAGAAATATGCACTAGATTTAATTGTACCACAGAAGCCCTAGAAAACAAAGGCACCGCACGCAATGTATTCGCACTAAGACAACTTATTAGTATGCATGCCATGGTGTATGGTGTGCTGACTCAGCCATACACTCACAATGTGGTGTATGAGCTCTCATACACCATGGCATGCATACTAATAAGTTGTCTTAGTGCTCATTCCTGTGGTAAAAATTGGTTACACTACACCCACTCGGCGGTTTAGTGCATACACTTTATACTCGTGCTGCGCACTCGTAGTGTATGTCCACTAAACCGTCTCGTGGGCATAGTGTAACCTATATTTATAATCTAGTGGGGATTAGGACAATATTAATTCCACTGTGTTTATAGCTAATTACACATTAATCTCCCTCTGTCAAGCTCACCACTGGATCCACTGATAATTAAAACCTCTATCACTACTTTATATGGGAGGATAACCATGAAAATCATTATCACAGATGCAACCATAATATTATTATATCTTTTAGTATTTACACTAACACACTATACATACTTTTTGATTGTTTGATAGGACACCCTGTATACAAAATCCACGTTTTTCATGAACTCGTGATTACTTTTAGCCAGTGCCACTGCTGTCATTCTTGGAATCATGGGCTCACACATGAATATAAAGTTCTGTGAAGACCGATTATTGTTTACTTGACACTTTTTCTTGAGATAAGGTTTACAACAGTGCACCTGCTGCATGTTGGTTTTAGGGTTGTAATCAGCTGCTAAGCTTTGCATAATAGAGGAACTAGGCGAAAACTCATTCAGCAGAAAAGTGCTCTAGATGATGAAGATGCTTCTCCTAGGCTCTCCACCGGCGGCATTGGTTTTTTTTAAAACAGTAAATGGTGCCTAATTAAAAAATCCGGGGTGGACAAAGTAATGTCTATGACACTGCCCTCTAAAACAATATCAATGCTGTACATGCGGATGACAAAACACTCAAGAGGAAAAGTAGCTACACAAACATTCTACCAATATTCATACTCTACACCAGTTTACACTTTTCGGGTGCAAATCCCATAGGGTCTGATGTTATCCTGGTTCTTTGTAACCCAGTACTCTCCGCAACCCGTTTTCTGGGCAGAAACCTTCTCCAGATCACGAGGACACACACGGTTCTGAAACACCAGTTGGTAGTCACCACCCTTGAAGGGGAAGGACTTGGCATAGCCGGCTGCAGTGGTGATAGATGGAGCTGAGTAGATTCCACGGCCATACTTAAACCTCCATGACTTTGACAAGAGATATCCACTCGTGGTGATACTGTCAGAATTTTCCTTTGGAGTCCCATGATAGGAAACTGGCCATTCACCTTCACTTGATTTTTCTCGATAACCTGGTTCACCCAACCACTTGTCGCCCCTTCCGTCCTCATCGTCAACAAAACGACCCCTCACCTTGATTGCACGTCTCATCCACCCACACGGACGGTAGTGCCTTTCTCCACCCCGATAGAATGATTTTCCTCCGTCATCTTTATCGGTAAAGTCGTAGTCGAAGGCTGGGTCGAAAGATCTCTTATCAATGAAGGTGATAGGGCACATCCCGCTGCGGGACTGCACCAGCATGTGTACACTGTTGTCTGGGCCTACACCGTAGTCCGAGATGCTTTTGTAGTCATCGTCCATCACATTACCGCCGAACGACAGTCGCTGTTCTTCGCACGGCATGCCCAACCTTTCCTCGATGCTCTCCTTCAGATGCCGCACGCTGTCGCGTTCGCCAACGCGGACAATGTGCGTGTAGCCGTTGAGTGTCTTCACGCAAACCGACATCTCGTCCAGGGACAGATTTTCGACTTCATGACTCAGTCCGCTGGCTTTTCCTCCTTCAGCTTTGTGTTCTCGTTCCTCTTCTGCGGTACCCCAATCATAACTGAGACGAAAAATCTGGTAGATATCGAGCGAGTGAAACTGTGCACGGGGCGACTCTTCCTTTCGTTGCTGATAGCTACTCGTCGTACGTCACGACAGGAGCTCCTAGAATCTCGGAGAAGGCCGAGGCTAGTATTCCGCCCACAGGGATAGTTGAAGTGGTCGTCATTGTACACGTAAAGTTTAAGTATAATATAGCTAGTTCTCTCAAGTTCTTTACCAGAACTGGCGACTTTACATTGCGCATGCGCGGACATGATAGCAACACCACGTGAGATGAGCAGATCGATCGGGACTGCCCCCTGCTGATATCATCGTTGACTATCAGCTGTACGGTCCTCCGGCCGGCCCTACACGCTGTTTGGGCGATGGCAGCGGCTAAGGTTGGTGTGAGTCAGCTTCTGGCGTCGGCTTTCTCGTCCACCCTCGACTGCCCCGTCGTCACGTACGACCAGTACGAGAAAGAGAAGGAAAAGAGCACCGAAGACTTCGGAGAACTCAACATCAGCCAACTTTTCCTGATCAGTAACGTCACTGGCGTAGTCGGCGATCCGGTTGTTACGACCGAGGCACAGACTGCCGGTTCTGGTCCGGTTGAACCTGTTCCTGGTTTCCACATATTCGTCAAAACACTGGGAGGGAAGATTATCAGTCTAGTGGTAACGGGCCAAGACACCGTGGAAAACATCAAACACATGATTCAAGATAAAGAGGGTATTTCTCCCGACGAGCAGCGCCTCATTTTTGCTGGAAAGCAATAGGAAGATGGAAGGCGCCTCTCAGATTACAAAATTGAGCGTGGAGCTACACTGTTCCTAGTACTGCGACTACTTGGAGGTAAAGCTTCTACGTGGTACATCAATGACTCGCTTCTGGATCCAGTGTACGACTTTGATTTCACAAACGTAAATGACGATGGAACTCGATTTTTCCGTGGTGGAAAGCGTTACTACCGACCGTATGGCTGGGAGCGTTTCGCTCTAAAGGTGCACGGCAAATACGAGGATGACGTATGGCTCGGTGAGCAGGGAATTCGAATGGACTCATCCCCCGGAGAGTGGCCCGTGTCGTATCACGGCACAGGTGTCAGTGCGAGCGGCTCAATCGCACAGGATGGTTACCACCTAAGCAAGGGGAAGCGCTTCCTCTATGGTCGCGGTGTCTACTCTACACCGTCCGTGAAAGTCGCCGCGACGTATGCACATGCATTTACTCACGATGGAGCTGAGTACCAACTAGTATTTCAGAACCGCACCTCCACCGAAGGCCTGAAGGTGATCAATGCGGCGGACAACGGTGTTGGTGAATATTGGGTGCAGCCAGCCGACAAGCTCATCCGGCCGTACAGTGTCTGTGTCAAACTCATTTCTCCCACTGAGGACGGCCGTCCTGCTGCTGATGCCAAGCAGAGTTCTTGCATGATTTTGTAGTTGGAGAAATAGGCCGAGTTATTAGGTGATTTTGAAGTTGGGAAAAGCACTGTAAGTTTTTGTAGTTGGACAGAGTTTGTGGCAGATGTTAGAAAGCTGTACTTGTGGTGTTTGCATTGTGGCTAAGTGATTACGAAATTTGGGTGCGTCTGAGACATGAAAAGTCATTATAATTACGATAAAGTTGACTTGTGAGTATATTATAGGATGGTCCAAGCCATCAAAATCCTTATATATAGATTGGCATTCAGGACGGTGGACATTATTTGTATGGGGTCATAACAGCTATTGACAACACTCGTTAAAAGGTTGACCATATAGAAAATTGTAACTGCATGACAAAGTGAAAGCACTAGAAGCTAGCATTGGTGTAGCTTCTGATGTGTAGCTAGTTGGTATACCTAGGCAGAACACAGAAGGTCTAGCAGCTGCTAATGCATGATGAAGCAAGGAGCAGAAGCTATACTATATAGACATCCCAGAATCCCTCCAGCTCCAAGAATCTCCGAAAAGTTAGAGGTATCACACCAACGGGAATAGTTGTTGAATTGGTCATGATTGTAGCTACACGTAAGGAGTTCTCTCATGATTCGAAGATTTTTTAATTGGTGGTGAATTGCATATTGACAGTGAGCATGTGCGGACATGATTGAGAAACAGACAGAGTTACGATCTTGTGGATTTAGAAAGCTGCACTTTTGATACGAACTTATAATAATGAAAGTGCATCTATGAAGTGCAGAAATGAAGGGCATCGATTCAGCAAGAACTTGTGTGTGCATCAGGCACACAGTTAGATGTAGCTACAAGGGTGAGGCAGCAAATGTGAAGAAAATTTATCATCCCATTCATAATTTATACGAATTAGCTATGTGGTAGTCCAGTGTCCTTGTAGCTACCAGTGAAGCCAAACGATAGTTGATCAATACTATGGGGACAATGATGAAGCGCTGAACCCGTTGGTGTCGCTTTTTTGCCGGTTTGTGCGTGTGGTGACGGAAAACGTGGTAGCAGCAGTGCCAGACGCACAACTGTATTGCAACCCTCGCTGTGCATGCGCGCCGAGGTTGATCACATCGTTAGTTGACCTGTGACCCTGGGCCGGATTCGCTCGGAACAAAGTGCTACTACGCAGCCTGCTGCTGGCTGGGAACGCAGACGTGACTCAGGGTCATGTCTCAAGACTCTGTGGCAGTCCGCACCGATGCGGAACCCCAGACGACCACTGAGGTCGAGTTGGAGAACTTGGTAGAGGCTCGGAGCTCACAAAACATCTGGAGGATAGCTTTCAGCTGTCCAAGCCATCAGGTAGCTCCTATTATACGCTTCTGGTCTTGAATCGACTCTTGGTGTGGCCTACACAGGTAGGCTACAGAGCGTAGCCAGGACACAAGAGTGTCAAGTTGTTTTCCCGCCAGCATTGCGCGTGTACTACGCGTGCTTGCGTGTATATACAGTATGAGTCAAAAAAACGTCAATACCTCTACCCTACCCTACCCTACTCTACCTAAATAACTACCCTAAACTACCCTACTCAGCTCTTCCCTACTACCCTACTGTACCCTACCCTACATACCCTACCCTACCCTACCCTACCCTACCCTACCCTACCCTACTCTACCCTACTCTACCCTACTCTACCTTTCCCTTCAGACTTGCTAACATGAATTTGTTCCCTATCCAAAGCTTTTACAATCTCTGCACAACTCAACTCTTTTTCAACTATCCTCTGCTTTATGTATTCAGAATAAACCATGCACGAGAAACGACGATTCTGGCGTCGCTAATTGAGGAAGCCCATTGAATTCCGCGCGTTTTTGTGGTTGACGCGCCCCCCTTTGTCCTTTCGCGCGATCGCGTGCTCGCCACTCAACACGCCGCTCTCTACATACTAGCAACTAGCAGCTAGCGTCTGCTCCAGCGTTTGCTCCTGTGGGCTGGGCTGTCGCGCTGCTCAGCGCTAGTGGCGGTGGTCACTACGACGGCGTGTATGTAGAAGCTCTGCTCAGTAGCTATATATATGCCGCACTTGCATGTTAGTCTACTGTACGCGCTTCGCTGCTGCTCTGCCCCCGCCTGTTTACGCCACGGTCCTCCTCTGCCCCGCCGGCGCAGTGTTTTTTACGCCACGCTCCGCTGCTCTACTCCTCGCTACTCTGCGCACTACTCTACTCTTCGCTACTCTGCGCTACTCTACTCTTCGCTACCCTGCGCTACTCTACTCTTCGCTACCCTGCGCTACTCTACTCTACTACCCATTTCTACCCTGCACTGCTACTACCCTACCCTTCCTCTACTCTACTCTACTTCCATCTACTATATGATGCGGATATTGAGCGTATTTAGTGTGACGCTGTAGGTGTACGTGCGCAGTTAGCAGTTGACACAAGGCGGAAGTGAATGGGGTCGCTGTCATCTCAATGTTGTTATCCAACCAACGCGTCGTGCGTGATCGATTAATTTATTTCTCCTCCTCTTCTCTTCTTGCCATGACTTCTTTTAGTTGTCCGTACTCGTGTACGTCTTGCCATCTATACACGTTGCCTTGTGATTTCCCGTGCTTTCCTTGTATTTCTTATTTTTTCGCGTCTTTTTTTGTCTCGAGAAGGCCCCCATCACATCCGGCTTTTTGTTCCTTCCCGCCCTTGCGGGATTCACACTGCGTGCTGCGTCGGACTGATGGGCCCATGTACCCTATCTGGCTGACACTGGAGACTGGAGCTAATGTTGTAGCTACCCTCTTTTTTCTACTCTTACTCGCAGCGGCAGTCTGGGAGCCCCCTGGGGCCTGGGTACCGGAAAGAGGACAGCCGAAGCCGAAAGAGGACAGGCGCTTCATCTCTCACCTCACAGCGCGAGTCACAAGTGTCCGCGCGCACGCAGCAATTCTACTTTTCGGCCATCAAGGGGGGTTTCCGGGCAACGTAGGAAACCCCATAGCTACGCCCCTGGGCTACGTTGCAGATCTACAGCAGAACTCAGACACAATTATCCTCACGCTTCTACAGACAATTGTGTTCATATGGATTTGTGATCATTACTCAACACTAGTCTTTCTTGCACAGTGCACTGCACTGAGCATGCGCACCAAACCAATGTAGCTCAGAGTAAGCTTGAATATCTTGAAAGCACTTTTGCTGCAAGCTTCTCTGACATGTATCAAAAAATGATCCCTGCCAGAAAAGAAAGTGGCGCATGTACGCAATCACAAAGTATAGAGGGGCATGAGGGTAGCTTGCTATACCTTGAATAAGGACAGCTAGGACTGTCAATGACCTGAGCATCACGCGTAACTTGTGTATAGCGAGGGGAGAACTGCGCACACTTCATATATTTTTATCAGCTGCGGGGTAGAAGCTTGCTTCACTCGCCCATAGAGTACTATTCAGTCGATGAAATTTCACACATTCCCCATGCACTCTGACTGGTCAACGGTTAGGCTCTGCCACCTGCTGTCTATCTCTGCCAATAGAAATTTCCTCTCTTTATCCCTCTCTTTTCCTTCATCAACCTGCACCCTCTCTCTCATAACAGGAAGCTCCTGTCCACAGTAGAGGATCATCCCACCGATGCAATCAGCAGGTAAGAGCACATTTCCTGCTTCTGCCATGAACTACTCACAAGATTGCACACACCAAGAATGCACGAGTCAAAGGCAGAAGTTTTAATTGCGGTTCTGTATATCTAAATATGTAGCTACTGCTTAGTTCACTCACTACATCATATTGGTTTGGGAATTGAACGAATCCCTTTACGCTGTTTTGGTAGCTCTATTGTTTTTGTTTTAACCGGAGCCCTTTTAATGTCTGTGAGCAGTTTGATGGACTGGAATTACCAAATTAACCTACAATGACATGAAAGTACTCAGATATTATTTGAGTGATGCCTATGATGCCTAGATACAAAATAAACAAAGCTGCGTAGCTCTAAAAGGTCCATGTAACCTCTACTAGATTTTAGTTACAGCTATACTATTAGAGAGTCGGTAAACTCTATAGGGATGACACGTGGTGGTGATCACATAGAACGCTCACAAATTTGCCGGAGGTGTGCCGCAGCATAGCAAACGATCATTGTGTTCTTGCCGCGCAAGTCACTACGGTAGTAGATCGTTAGCTCTCCTCAGGCGTAGTCACTGAACATGACCATTTGACTGCTGCTAACTCAGCAGCATCAGTGAGCCGCATGCTCCGAGGAGGACGTTTCAATGCGGTGCATGCACATTTTGTCTCGTAAACGTGGTCCACAAACGAGACTAAGGCAGGACTGGATGCCTGCAGAGAAAACTACTCTCATCCTCAGTGCTCTGTAAGTCGGTGTTACAATGTACACATTGTAAGTGGCTAGCTTGCGTTGTGCTGTTGATTGCATGAGTAGCAAATTGGCAATCTGCGCTGTGTCTACGCGATACCTTGCCAGGCACCTCATCTTTGTCCCCAGGTTATAGGCTATCATTGTAGTCTGATTTCTTAAGCCTGCCAATGAAACCACCACTTTATGCTGCCACAACCTATTTCGCGTCCTTGTTGGAGACACTAGGCGCATACCCATGCTTCAGGTAATAAGAGACAGTCCATTAACTTCTGCTTTCAAACAGTTCTATCTCTACACATGCCCATGCAAATCATCAGAGTGACCCGGGGAAAGATGCAGTGTATCATAACCATTATAAAATAGTGGCCACAAGGGAGAGTAGAAGAGAAAAGCGCTAGGCATGAAAGTAGAATGGGGAAAAGTAATAGCTGTAGCAGACTCGACTTACATAAATGCCTGTCATTCTCAAGCCATGGTCATCGATCTTGCATGGTCATAATGCATAGTGTATCACTCTTATTCATGCACTGTATGTATGCTGCAAGCATGCGCAAAAGGTAGAGTTGTTTGATCAATCCAGAGTTGCAGCTGCGAGTGCGCTACTTATCTAGCCTCATAGCAACATTGGGGAATGAATATAGTTGCAGCGCACTTGGTCCAGCCTCAAGCCTTGCATGAGTGTCGGAGACACAAACGGTAGGATTTCAATTCTCACCAATATTGAGCTAAAATACATATTTTTTAAGCCATGATGCCATGATGGTGCAGGAAACTGAGGGAGTAAAGAACCCAAGTCAGAGTCGGCTAAACACATGTATGTAATTGCATCATTCCTCATATAGGACTGGGGTTGTACCTGTGCTGGTCAGTTGTCTGCAGAGCTCCAGGTTAGTACCCGAAATGGTTCAGTAAATTCTTCTGATTATCAACTTAACAAAAGGCACTAATAAGTGCTCCCGCGGAAAAGAGGGTCTGGTACATAAGGTTCATTTTGTTGGTTGTGCTGAGTCAGCATGTTCGGAAAACAGGTAACCCAATCAGATTGCCAGATTTAAAAGTATCATTGAGGATCTATCTGCAATGCAGGCACTGTTTCTGCCTGCATGCGCAGTTGCAACAGATGGGAATGCGACCATTTGTAATCACTTGCCTGACAGGTTGTTGAATAGCAATTTACGATACACCATGCTGATCAGCACAACAAGGAATCGGCCCTTAAA